ATTTGCCACCTTATGGTAATTTATGTGCATTGTTGTTATTTTGCATGAAAAGGGTGGTGCCCTGTGCTAACTTTACATCAGTTTAAAATGTTTTTTCAGTTGTGGTAAAATTTCTACTCTAATCAGCTGAGGCTTGAAGGGTCGTCGTCAGGGTTGCGTTCATCCCGACATCGAGAGGCCTACAGGAATGCTTTCCGGGGTAATAGTAAATTCTCTTCATATACTGGAGGTGGAATAATTTATTAAGGCTCATTTACAGCTTATATCGCGATGGAACTGTCGCGTCTGAACTCAGCGTAGAGTCGATAAGAGCAATCTACAAGGTGGGTGTTCTCTCTCCCCCCAGCGCTGAATTAGTGTTGTGAACGACCGAAAAAGTGGGCTGCCGGGTTATCGCCTATGCAGATAATGTGGCACCTATTTTAAGGAGACGATTTCTAGATACCCTTTTTGATCTGATTCAACGTTACCTGAATTTGGTGGGCAGGCAACTACGGCCTCGAAGTTAACCCCCCAGCATAGTCTTATTTACCAGAAAGTACAAGGTGACCCTTCGCTCCATCGGGGATGGTCGTCTGCAGCTCTCTGTTAGGGTCAAGTTTTTAGGCCTTATCCGAGATAGGAAGCTGTCGTGGAAATCCAACATTGAGGAAAGGGAAAGTAAGGTGTCGGTTACCTTGTACTGTTTACAGCAGAGCAATCGGCAAGAAATGGAGTCTCGCCAAAAGTGCTCCTTGGCTCTTTGAAGGCATAGTTAAGCGCATCTTCTTTTACGGAGAACTTATCTGGTGGGTTCACACTTGTCAAGCGACTGGCGCTTTAAGAACCACACACTTACACTAGCGCCTAACGTCATGTTGAAGATATTACAGCAAAATTTTTGCAGCTCCAACTGCTATTAGGCTCACGCAACTGGCTCGAAAGCTGATCACTCTGGAGTTCTGGAAGGATTTTATTTCGTCCATGGAAGAACAGACTACTGCGACCCCGAAATGACTCACAGTAGCTCTTCCGCTACAACAACAACAACCTGACCAAAAAAGTCAACCTTCAAACGTTATTACCGCCGCTGATCTGTGGCAACCACTATAACCTAACCTATAATAACAAAAAAAAAAAATGAAAGTTGTAAGTAAAACTTTTCTAATAAATTATTTAAAGTTCAAATTAAAATCTTAAAAGTTTTACTCAACAATTTTGAAGTTACCAGATCGTAAAATTAAACATACAACTGTGAGTACAGTAAATGAAATGTTTTTTGTTTTTAATAATTTTGTTTATCCCTAGAATAGTACGCCTTCCAAAAAAAGCTGAGTTTAGTTGAGTTTCCTTCCATAATTTGCAAAAATTTTATTGAATGAATCACCCTTTATCTCTGAATACAATTATCGCTTTCAATCAGTCCGACTAATTAATCATTTGCTAAGTCTTACTTGCTATGTAGCTTTCTAATTTGCATTCCTCTCGCGCGGTACTTCCTACAGTGTGTGAAAAGTGATTAGCCGCATCAAGTCGGCAATGAAAAGTTTAGCTTTTGTTGGCTTGATTTTATTGCAAGATTTTTCAGTGTGCATAAAGCAAAGATATAATTTATAAATTAAATAAATCTGAACGACCGCGACTTATACGGCGATATTACTCAATGCGGCTAAAATGATATTTTTCAAATAGTGCGATATTTTGACAAAAATAAAACAACACACATTATTGATGGCGAAGAAAACGAATAGCGAGAGAGAGCCAGGTTAATGTTTTTGAAAAAAAAACTGCAACACGACGTCGTTCTAACAAATATTCGGCGTTCGCTCGAGGAAATATTGTTTAGTATTTCTTATGACGATTTGTGAGTACACTTATTCTACGTCTACTGTGCAATATTTTGATATTAAATGGCATGATACTAATCTCTTGCGATATGTTAATTTCTTGGATTTTTCAAAAGAAACAACAAAACGATAGTTGGAAGAAGATCTAATAACAATGATAGGCTGACGTCTATGTATGCAGTTTCGACCTAAGCCTAAGTAAAATTAAAATTCACAAAATCGGTATTTTACAGGGCCAGAGAGAAAAGTTCAAATAGAATCCAAACCTTTTTGAAAACCCGCTCTCAGTAAAAAGAATTGAGTCATTGTTTGGCAGAGTAAAGAATTTTAAGACAAATAAACACCAAACAAGTAAAACTAAAAAATAAATTCTATGAATTGAAAACGTTCTAATTGCCATTGAGGCTAGTATAAATTAGGAAGTTTCGCTAAATGAAATTAGGAAGTTTTCGCTAAATCTCAGAGCTGAAAGGAAATGAAGGGATACTTAGCAGATAGCCGAAGACCTTAATCAATACGATGTCTTCGTACTAGATCGGTCTAAGGCTTTCGAAACGGTCAGCTGCGCCACTATTGATAATTCAGATCGTATTACGGGTAGTAGAATTAACTTCCAACAGTGTTTTTGAACCCGGCCTCTGTAAGCCGTTTATGCTGCTGGGCACAAGGTGCGAGTGTAAGTGTACTATGAAAAAGCTTTTTGTAAGAAAAAAGAGGTTTGCAAATATCAGGAAATCGCCTTTTTACAATCACTTTTTTTAAGACCAAATAAATAAACAAGAACATCACAATAACTTTTAAGCCATTAGGGACTAGTTTCAATGTACAAAACAAACGGACAGACTTAATTAAAACAAAATTTTTATATTATTAATTAATTACTTCCCTAAAGTTTTTTCTGTTCATATAACTTGTATTTGCTGGTTGTTACGTATTGAAAAAGTTTGTAAGCTATTAATTTCAATCCACTTGTAATACATTTATGTGCTTACATGTACAATGATTTTATTGGAACTTCAATTGATTTCAATTATAATTTAATTATAAATAACATTTACTGATTTTAAAAAATATATATATACATACATTAGAAGCTTAATTTTGCAATCATTAGAGACCGACATACATAAGTGAAATAAGTAGTCATTTTATAAACAAACACATTCATTTCTTTATGATAATACATATAATTACACAGATCAACAATTAAAAAAAATATATATATTAATGCCGAGACGTCGTTAGTTGTTTGTTAGGTGTGCGTTGACAACACTAAAAATATTTTGATATTTGTTTCTTACGTGCATGGTTTTTAAAGTCTTATCAGTGCGTTTCTATAAATAAATTGATTTAAATATCAAGTCCTCATAGCGTAGAAGTTGTCTCAATGAGCCAAGTGTAGTTTGTTACATTTCTGATGAATACACAGTTAAAAAAAAACTCGGAGAACCCAAAAACGATTTTATAAAAAAAAGTCCAAATAATTGATAACCTTCTCCTTTTTTTGAGGTCGCTAAAAAGTGCTTATTTTTCCTACTTTAAAACGAATGTGGATTAATAAAATTATAGCTACTCCGTAATCATAAACCACATGCTGGATAACTTTAAAAACTTAGGAAGTACATCAAAGTCATATTGACCAATTACCAGAGACTCATGGATCCTATAGCAGAGAAGAAAGGGGGAGCTTTTCGCCAAGATCTACAAACTATAGAAGAGAAGCAGTTATATTCTTGAAAGCTCGGCAAATATTTACTTTTAAATGATGAGTGGCGTTTTTTTTTTTAATACAATACGGCGGAATTTTTTTTTTATCTATTGAATTCGCTATACGGGATCCGCTTCAGTTAAAGAAGAATGCCTCATATGTACATACATATATAAAAACTTTATAATATATTTGCTTTGAAAGTCAATTCAAGATTTTTAACGAGTGCAGTATACATCCATAAATACATATA